TTTAAGCTTGTGTGCCTGATTTATTTTACTTAACATTATGGTCTCAAGGTGCATCCATTTTCCTACAAATGACTCAAGTTTAGCCTTCTTATGGCATAGAAATACTCAATTGTGTTTAAAACCACATTTATTCATTTATGTAGGCCACTTCCAAGATTCATCTGTTACGAATTATGTTGCTGTAATCACAGTTATACGTGCATCTCTGTAATATGACATCTTTCACTCTTGCAGGAAGATACCTAGAAGAGGAATCCAGCAATTCCTTCTTATAAGTAACATTACAATTAGCCACATATAAACATTTACCCAAATCTCTGGTTATTTTCTCAGTGTATTGTCCCAGAGTTAGAATTCAAGGTCAAAGTCATTATCACTTTCAAATTGCGTGTGTGTGGACTGAATTCTTTTCCAGAAGGACCGTAATTCTGTGCTCCAGCTCACACAGTACAGCAGCTGTACAGTCTCCCATTTAGGACAGGCTCTTACCCATCTTTCTCTAGGGTTTTAGAGGCCTGACTGATACAGAATGCCAGCAAAATATCCAGTGGCAACATGGCATTATTCTCATAGGTTGCCCCGAGGTCATGGTGCAGTTCCAAGAGCACACACTTGAGTATTCCGAGCACCTGGACCTGATGCACCCTGAACAAGGCTGAGCAAGTGGAGGAGCAGTAAGACACTGTAGCCAGCTTTTCAGTAGAGTAAGCACTTGCTTGGCTCACGTTCCTGATAGGTGACATGGGGGGCATTTGGAATGGGATAGGTCCTTGCTGTGAGGTCACCCTGAGGGTTGTAGAACATTTTGCCTTCCTGGCTCTACAGGGAAATGCCAGAGCACTGTCCAGCCTGTGACAAGCAGGACAGTTCCCTACCTCACTGTGTGCCAGCCCTGTGTGGAGAGCACACCAGTCTCTAGGTTGTAGCACACCTAATGTGTGGGTACTTGTGAGCAAGTACATGACAGTGTGGCCACCCAGCCTTCGCATCCCAGGAGGCGGCCTCTCCTCAGACACGACCCTGAACGCACAACCCGTCTTCTGCCTGCAGACATCAGAGGAAGGGTACAGTACCCTCTGCAAGGGGACCGAACTGGTGGCAGTCAGGCAGCCTCTGGTGACCAAATGTTGATGTGTCCTGGGACACAGGAGAAAGGACACCAGAAAGCTTAGCCAGTGGGCATGTGGAGGACAGAAGAAAACTCCCAGGACAGAAGGGAGCCATAGCTGCTTATGTACACGTTGCCCAGGGAAGAGAGCCTTCAAGACAGCCATGGTGGCCTGCACTGGCCACCCTTGAGAATGGGAAAAGAAAGCAGCTCAGCAAGCCAGAGAAACAGCAAATGCAGAGGCATTATGGTGGCTTTTAAAGGCTGAAGTTGGGCATAGTGGTACGTGCCTGTAATCCCAGGTCTCAAGGCTAAGGCAAGAGGATCACTGTGAGTTCAAGTGTAGCCTTGGCTATATAGTGACTTTAAGGCCAGACTGATCTACATAGTGACCCTGTCTCAAGCAAAACATAAAAATAAAAAAGGCTGAGCCAGTCCCAGTGGGTCTTGCATGCTGCCAGAGTTTGATCTGCAGTGTTGCCCAGAGACCTGACAGCTGTGCTTAGGAATGTGCATTAGAAGGTCCCAGGGGAGGGCCAAGGGCAGAGACACCATGGAAGAGTTTTAGCTAGCTTTTTGCCACTATAAGGAATACCTGGTATGAGCTACTTATGAAGAAGAGGGTTACAGTTTTGGAGGTTCAAGAGCATGGCACTTAGCATTGGCTCAGTTCCTGTGAGCATATACTCACACGTTCATCCTATCACCCTGCCCCACTCTCCTACAATCATGGTGTGCAGGTTGTGTGTGTGTGTGTGTGTGTGTGTGTGTGTGTGTGTGTGTGTGTGTGTATCT